TAATTAAAATTAAATGAAATTTGTAAAAATGCGTAATTACCCGAAATTATGTTAATTAATGTAATTATGCACATAAAATATGCTACTTAGAGAGATAATCGTATTATTTTATGCGAATGTATGCGATTATGCTTATGTGGGCAGTTATGATCATTAGGCTCAGTTTCGTTGCCCAGGGTCGTATCATCAATCGGGATAAGACAATAAATTGTATGAAGTTATGCAGGTATGCTGTAAGTATGCTAGATTAAGCTCGGCTTCGTTGTCTAGGTTTGTATTATCAATCGGTATAATACAATTATTCTCGCTTTAACATTTACTGATTATGTATTAGTGTGTTTATGTCAGGTCTCCAATTAAAATCTCACCGCAGGATACAGTTCTTATAACTAAGATTATTATGCATGAACTTAGGAAGGCACCACGCAGACACTTCTTGTGTTAAGCAATTTTAATTTCTAAACAAAACCTTAACACTCTAATATGCGAACGCTTATGCTTGGAATTGTCAACACAGTACTCCTGCAGATGTTCCCCTCATTGATCCATACATTTAACCTTCAATGATTACGTTTGTTAACTGGGTAATAGAACAATCGAATATTCCTCAGAGTACGCGAGCATACATGGCGATAGGAACAAAAAGTCCTTAAAAAATCATGCAACGACATTCATACGAAGGTATTAAAGAAACATGTCCTGAAGGCAAGAGTAGTTATAAATTAATTCATTGGGAAGATTATGCAATTAATGAAAGCGACATCACGATTGATTAAAAAAATTGGCAAAATCATTCTTAATATCAAAAATGGAAAAAGGCCTATATATATACACCACAGTATGCACTGCTGTAATCATAGCAGGTGCCAGCACATTCAGTGTGCACTGCTGTTGTTAAACCATGCACCACCACAGTATGCACTGCTGTATTAATAGCAGGTACCACCACATTTAGTATGCACTGCTGTAGTGAAAGGACGTACCATACAGTCAGTTTGCACTGCTCTGCTGATACCAGGTACCACCACTGTCAGTATGCACTGCCTTTGTCATAGCAGGTTACACCACAATCACTAGGCACTGCTGTAGTGATACAAGGAACCACCACAGTCGGTTTTCACTGCTGTAGTGAAAGCAAGTACCACCACAGTCGGCATGCACTGCTGTAGTGATAGTGCATACCGTCGATGTGTGTATGTTAGTCAATGTGTGTGCGTGCTGTACGTGTGTAGACTACTATTTTTAAATTAAGTTACTTATTTTCAGAATGATAATGTCTGCGTCTAAGTCCATGTGTGCGTGATGGGTCAATGTTCGTCTCTGCGGCGATGTGTGTGTGTAACTCGATGTGTCTGTGTGTGTGAGTCAATGTGTGTGTGAGTCCATGTGTCTGTGTGTCAGTGTCGATGTGTTTGTGCGTGTGAGTCGATGTCTATGTGTGTGTGTCAGTCCATGTGTGTGTGGCTCTATGTGCATGTGTGAGTCCATGTATGTTCGTGTGGGAGTCTGTGTCAGTCGATGTGTGTACGGCAATGTGTGTATGTGTAAGTTCATATGTGTGTGTGTGAGTCTATGTATGTGTACGTGAGTCGATGTGTGTCTGTAAGTCGATGTGTGTGCGTGGGTCCATGTGTGTGTGTAAGTCCCTGTGTGTGTATATTAGTCGAAATGTGTGTCTTTGTAAGTCCTAATGTGTGTGTGTACGTCAATGTGTGTGTGAGTCTATGTACCATCGGACACTCCACCCCCAGAACTCCAAATTGGTGATGGGCCAGTTGTGGAGAGAGTGGAGAGTATCCCATACCTTGCCAGTGTGCTAATGACCAGCTCCGTTTTAACAGGAGAGGTCTTACTCCGAATCAGTCGAGCGGCATTATCTTTTCATCGGTTGCGTAACGCTCTGTGGAAGCTACCTGCTCTATCACTCCGCACGAAGCTTCAGGTCTTCTCGGCCACGGTCATTCCCTCCCTTCTCTACGCTTGCGAAACTTGGACCCCCCTAATGGAACATCTTCGCCGGTTAGAAAAAATTCGGATGGCCTGCCTACGGTCCATCCTGGGTTTAACCAGGCTAGATTGTGTGAGGGGCTCACAAATCCTTGAAAGATGTGGACAAAGTCCCATCGGTGAGCTCCTCCGGTAGGCAAGGCTGCGTTGGCTTGGTCATATAGCCCGCATGCCCAGCCACCGCATGCCTAAACAGCTTTTATTCAGCCGGATCGAGGCTAAACGGGCGCGTCAGCAACAACGGACGGCGGAGGAGCGACGCTCACGACAACGAGCGGAGCGCCGGGTGGCTAAAGCACAGCAAGTTGCCACATTAGGGGGCACAGGTGGTGCATCAGCTAGTCGTCTCTGTCAGTCGACCTGTGGCATCTGGGTCTGCCTCGTGACCTCCTGCCAGCAGGCGTTCGACACTTCACGTGGCCTCAAGGTGCACATAGCCTGGCACAAGCGTTGTGGTGACGTCACCGCCACATAGTGGCGAATGGCGGTGGTTGTTGTTGAGTCTATGTATTTCTAGATTTGAAGTTTTCGTGACTGCAAGGATTCATACTCTTTGTTTTTTTTTATATACAGCAATTTTGCTGTGACGGTTCCACCTGAAGACGGAAGCTTGTGTTGCCTCCGAAACGTCATGATTCAATTTAGTTGTTTTTTCATTTAATTTTTTACCTACGTGACTATCGAAAAAAACAAAGAGTATGAATCTCTGTATGTATGTGTGAGTCAATATGTGTGTAAGTCTATGTGTATGTGTGCGAGTCGATTTGTGTGGGTATCTACATGTGTGTGTCTAAAGTCGATGGGTTTCTATGTGTGTGGGTCGATGTCTGTGTGCAACTCCATGGGTGTGTCTGCCTTTTTCGCCCGGGCAACGCCGGGTACTTACCGCTAGTACCTAATAAATGAACTGAACTGAACAACGGATAGGCTCAGCGTCAGAACGCAGTCGTTGCGTCGCATGAATTTAATTACGACTCCGTAGAACTCCAGTTTTCCATTGACGTAGTGGAGGATGAACCTCGCGTATCCCGTCTGTACTCGAAACCAAACAGCACCGGAAACACACAACAACAACCGCCATTCTCCACTAAGTGGTGGTGACATCACCACGGTGCTTGTGCCAGGTTACGTGCACGTTGAGGCCACGTGAAGTGTCGAACGCCCGCTGGCAGGAGGTCACGGGGCAGACCCAGGTGCCATGGGTTGACTCACTGAGATGACTGGCCGATGCACCCCCTGCTGTGCCAACATGCTGTGTTATATCCACCCGGCGCTCTGCTCGTTGTTGGTGAAACAGACGCCTCCTAGGACGGCCCCAACTCGGTTTACCTGCGCGTATTGTACTCACATTTCGGAGACGAATATTTAACACAAGCGCTTGGGGTGGAGGAGGTGGGGGGAGTCATCAGTGAAAGAGAACGTGAAATAATTATTCAGAATCGGAATCTTTATTTCGACTGGAGGAGGAGTCCGAAGAGCTATGAAGCTCTTTTTCACAGATGTCCAGTATGGGGCACGGGGTCAGCGAGTAACAAGGACAAAAAATCTAACAAACCAATAATATATACGAGTGCAACATAGAGAAACAGGTAAGCAAGTCACAAAATATTAATTAACACATTATGTAAGCTTGGGCAAGGCAGCAAAAACAAGAAAACAGTGCCAGACCACAGCAAGATCACACGCAGTAGTATTATTTAATTTGGGTCTTTCGGTGAAGTCACGTAGATAGGTTCAAAGAGAATAATGGACCTATCTATGTGACTTTACCGAAAGACCCAAAGAATATGAATTCCTTGAGTCACGAAAGCTTTAAGTCAAGATTTACGCAGTTGTAGTCTCTCCATAAAATTGCAAATTAACATTGAGCTATCGATACACAAGGTAAGGGTGAAAGTTACAAATGATATTTGCAAATATGGCTATAGCTGGCACAAATCACGTGCTTCAGAATATTTTTTGAAGGAAGATTTACGATATTCTTAGTTATTTCGGTAAAGTCACGTTGAAGGGAAACAACAAAATAATAAAATATATATAAATATATATTTTTTACCGAAAGAACTAAGAATATGAATTACTGCAGTCACGAAAGCTTTAAATCAAAATTTAAGATTTACGATGTTAAGGGAGGAAAGGGTTTTTTTTTCCTGAAACGTTGGTGCTGCAACGGCAAATTCTTCGGCACCGATTACAATTCTTGCTCGGGGGGGGGGGGGGTATTTAAAAGTCTATTAGATGGACGCCTTACGCCTTCGGTTTCATAGGCGTGGCAATGGCGATAATGAATGAGCTAAGCGGAGCGCAGATTTGCAGAAACGGATTTCATGGATGAACAGGGCCCGCTGTAGGTGTCTTCTTGCGTCAAGTGATGCGAGATTTTGATTTCAAGTCGAGGTCACAGCGCTTACGTCAATCTCATCAACCGTGGGCCCTCACGCCAGGTCTCCGTACAAGCAACAGTCGCACAGCATGTGTCATATCATGTCACGGGGGTCCTCACCTTTTGCCATTGATCCTCTATTGAAATGTAGACATGGTGGGGGTAGTGGTGGTGTAGCGGTTAGCGCGCTGACGATTATCTGAACCGGTCCTGGGCCTCCCCTAGGTCGACTCAGCCTCAAATGAGTAACTGGTGCAGTGAGTGAAAACATCGCCACTAGGGAGATAAAGGCGACCGGGCGTGGTGCTGGCCACCCACCCCCTCGTGTGCCATTCCGGAAATCATAGGTGCTCGCTAACATCGCTTGCCCCAACAGTCAGTTACAGGCTATACGGGGAATCCTTGTCTTTGTTGGTGGGTGTGTTGGACGCCTGTTCATGGGGATGTTGGTGCGGGTGTTGGTGGGGGTGTTGATGGGGGTGTTGGTGAGGGTGGTGGTGGTGGTGTTGGGAGTGTTGGGGGTGTTGGTGGTGTTGCTGGTGGTGTTGGTGGGGGTGTTGTTGTGGGTGTTGGGTGTTGGTGGTGGTGGGAGTGTTGGTGGAGGTATTGGTGGGGGTGTTGGTGGGGGTGTTGGTGTGTGTGTTGGTGGGGATGGTGGTGGTGGTATTGGGCGTCCGTTTCCAAAATAATTGCTCAAAGCCATCTCGCATGTGTGTGAGACAGCGTCTCCTGCTCTTATATAAACTGAATTTATAAAGCGCCTTGAGCAAGGAGCTTAGCAAAGAATTGACAATGGCACAACAACGCGTGTGTGAATGTAATGGTGGAGATGAGGTGAATTAAATAGATGAGAGAGGAAGCAATGGGGGCGAACCCTTGATGATGCGTGAATTCGGTGAAGGCGAAATTTATGACACTAAATGACGAGGAATGGAATGAATGAATGAATGGGGAATGAGTGATAGCCATATAATGAGAATATGAAGAGGAAACAGTAACGTTGGTGGTGGTCATGCGGGGGGTGGGGAGATTAAGGGGGGGGGGGTCGTGTGGTGAGCGGGAGAACAATACAGTAAGTGAGTTTGGAATGAGAAGCGGAAACGAGCGAGCGAAGGTGACTGCTTGATGTGGAGTGGGAAGTTTGTTGCCGCTCTCCAAGGTACCCGCATCTCACTCATACCTGCCAGTATCTGTAACAGTCATACAGAATGAACGGACAGGCAAACTAAACGGGGGAGGGGGTGGCAGGACGCCGTCACGCCTAGAAGAGATAACGATGCACGATGGTCGGGACCCTTCACCTACCTTTAAGCGCCCTCTCGAAATATTTGTTTTTCTTTTACTTTTAACTGATCGGATTTCTGAGCTGTTCATCCGCGCCTCAGGGTCGCCGCCTTCGGGCAAGTGAGCATTGTTCGCGTTGCCAATGAGCATTATTATTCATGGTAAGGGAGCGGCAGCCAAGGAATGGGACACTTCCGAGGGACACGTCCACTGAAGGGAGATGTAGCCATGTATTCAGATTGCTTTCAGGCGCTATCTAGATGATTACATCGCAGGGATATCGAGAGGTGGCGGGGTGGCTTAGGGAGGCCAATCATCCAGCAGTGGATTGACCAAGGCTGATGACAATTCAAGTCAACTAATGCTTAAGTACGGTATAATCTGGGGGTAATGAGACACTATTGTGGACACCATGTAGGTTATATACGTCTCAGTTAAGGATCTACTATAATCTAATTTTAACATCGGCAAAGCCACAGCTGCGATCCGTGCGAGATTGTGCTGTGAAAGCGTTGGTGCTGTGGACCGACCGCCTTGCATTATTGAACAATCTCCCCGTGCGGAGATTGTTTACCGGGCGATATGTTGCGCACCTTGTGCGACCTCGAACGACCGACTCCTCTGGGATTCATCTGCTTAAAGCATTTCACCATCTCTCTCCTTAGCGTCTTGTTCCTGACGAAGTAAATGCTGACGTTTGCGATGGGGATGATGAAGGTAACCAACTGAACACCGCAGCGCAGGTTTTTGATCTGCGAGTGTTGATAGTCCTTGATCAGACGTGGCACCATGGTCGATACGAAACACGCGACGAAAAACATCGCGAGCATCAGGAAGTGGGTGAGCAGCGTGTGCACGGCCTTTCTCTTGAACTCGCTCTGCCCTGTCCGCTTGCACGCACAAATGATTCTCAAATACGTGTAGGCGATAACACACATCGGTAAAGCGATGCACACAACCAATGCGCTCGATCCGAATATGTCCAGAACCTTCGTATCGCTGACGGACAGGCGAACGTATCCCGAAAAATCGCATAAAATGCTCTGTATCTCCCTATCGGTGGCTCGCAGTTCCAACCGAGAGACGAGGAGGGTTTGCGGTACGAGGATGGCCACTGTGATGAACCAAGTCGTCGCCACGGCGAGCAATGCCCGTTTGCCCGTCACAACGGCGTGGTAGCGCAGCGGGTGACAGATGGCCACGTAGCGGTCCAAGGACATGGCGGCCAGCGTGAGGCTCTCCAAATCGACGAACACGTTGATCCAAAACATCTGCGCGATGCAGGACGCGTGCGAGATCCGCGGGTCGCCCGTCAGGAAGACGTGCAGCTGCTGGGGGAAACTGACCGCGCCGCCGACGACGTCGGCCGCCAGCAGGTTGCACATGAGCACATACATGGGCACGTGCAGCTGCGTGCGTGCCGCCACGATCGCGAGCACCAGCAGATTCGCCACCACGGTGACGACGAGCAGCAGCAGGATCAGGCTGAACGCGAACATGCGCACGCCGTCGGAAGCCTCGAATGTTCCGAGCATTATGAACGAGTCGTCGAGCTCCATCGCCGTCTTCGAACGTGAAGCGCTATAAAAAAAAATGCGAAATAAAGAGAGTAGCACTCATTCTTTGGGTGATTTTTTTTTCCTCCTCGGGTCAGGTCGCTTAACTAAAACTCCGTGTCGTAAACCCTCCACCATTCCTGGCACAGCCAGTTTGTCAAGTCATCGCGTGATGAACAAACGTGCCAGTTAATTGCTGCTTCGACACGCATTCAACAACTGGGTACGACGTGCTGATGGTAGTTACTGCCAGCATCATAGGCCAGTTGACAGAAATCGGATGTTCTGCCTAATGATGCTGGTTGTAACCACCAGCGAGCGAATTGTCATACCCAGTTAACAGCATTTGTGTTCATTGTTGTAGAGCATTGCCTGCTCTTTGGTTATTTCGGTCATCAAGTCTGATGACGACCGCTTGTTGTGGCGATCGAAACGTCGTGATTCGTTTCATTTTATTTTATTTCCTACTACGTGGCTTAACCGAAATAGCCAAAAAGTATCGATTCCTGCAGTCACGAAAGCTTCAAATCAAGATCGATCAGTGCGTGTCCATCAATTGTAAAATACCATAGCACAATGGTTGCGAAGCACCCAAGAACAGGTACACCAACAGTGTTGTGGTTTATTTGTTGAACATCTTATCTTGAAAGCATTTATATAGCGACTTAGAAAAGGCACTTGACACAGGTACACAAACAGTGTTGTGGTTTATTTGTTGAACATCCTATCTTGAAAGCATTTATATAGCGACTTAGCAAAGGCGCTTGACACATAATTAACAATAGTACATGTGACTGTCATGGTGGAGGTGAGGTGAATGAAATAGGTAAGAGGAAACAATGGGGACACATCTGTGATGTGTGAAATCGCTGAGAGCGAAATTTATGACAGTAAACGATGATGATTTGATTGAATGAATGGGGAATGAGTGAAAGCCACACAATGAGAATATGAAGAGGGAAAGGTAACGGTGGCGGTCGTGAGGTGACCACGGGAACAATAAGTGAGAGTTGAGTGCGGAGCGGAGAGAGAGAGACACAACTTTAGCGAGGAAAGTGGCGCATCGGAAATGCCAAGAGAAGAGCGAGTAGAGAGAAGAGGAGGATGGTCAACCGTGTCAAAAGCTGAGGACAGATCGCGGAGTATCGGAATGGAAGAGAGACCAGCACGAGCAGAGTTAGCCGGGTGATTCTGGACCGAAAGAAGAACCGTTTCGGTTGAATGAGAGGGACGAACCCCAGATTGGAATTGGGGTTAGAGAGAGAGTCAGAAGATACGTAGTGGTTAAGACGAGAGTGTACCAGGCATTCGAATGGTTTGGATGAATAGGGGAGAAGGGAAATGGGGCGGTAGTTGGCAGGAAAAGGGGAATCAAGAGAAGATTTATTGAGGAGTTGCACAATAATGACTGACATAGATGGCAGGAAAGACACCAGTGGAGAGGGGAGAATTGAATAGGGACACTGGGTAGGGGAGAATGTAATCTAGGGGAGAGGCAGTGTGTTGGGCCTTAGAGATGATATTAGAAAGTTCAGTTCAGTTCCTTTATTCCGTTAAACATTCCGGCTTACCATGAATTCTGGGTCTAAGCTGTTTTGACTGTGTACAATTAATACAATTGTATTTTCAGAACCCATTCTTCCCACATTTGCCTCTTCACGTTATAACCGATCTTATCTAGGGTTTTATGAAGCGCTTTCGTCAAAGCGCTTTACAAGAACTAAAACGGTGCGTTAGTTATTGCCTGATGGGGGGAAAAGGATGGGATTTGAGTGTTGGGGAGGGGAAGGGATGCCAAGTGAGGGTGATGATAGGGAAAGGGAGGGCTGGCAAGGTTAGGAGAGGGAAGGGAGAGGATGGTTTAGGGTTTCAAGGACGAGGACACCACGTAGTAGAGGGATAGGCTTTTCGAAAGTTGCCTTTTTGATGCGGAGTGGCAGTTTATTCTAAAGAAGGGGAGCCAAGTGGGAAAAGGAGCGGAAAGTGACTGAGCACAGAGAAGGGTGGGGAGGGGCGTAGTGAGGGATATATTAGAGATTGTGAATGCAGGGGCCGAGATGGGAAATCATCAGAAATAAGAGAAGCGAGATGGGGCGGGACGGAACCATGGAGGGATTTGTAATCTAGAAGTCCTCTCTTTGTTACGAACGAGCGGCTGCCCAGCTACCTGGGAGTGCATCACAGCAGGATTGGGCAGTGAGCTGTGTATTTATTTTTTAATCATTTACGTGGACAGATATATTTTTTACTAACATTCTCCACAACGATGGTTAATGATTATGACTATTATTATGCGCTACGTATTGTACAGTTTCGTGTCGAATTGGGACCCATTTCTTACACGAAGGGTATTTTTCCTAAAAAAAAAAACATTGGGCATCTCACCAGCATTGATCCAAGCAAGCGTGACTGTTGATGAGGCACTGAATGTCTAAACCTGCCCGGCGTTTGCTGGAAATGAACCAATACTGCTGGTAATACGCACCCCTCAGAAGACCTTCGGCTGATGTGATGTGTGAAATGCACGTTTTTTATTTATTTAAGTTTCGTCAATTAATATTTTGCCTTTTCCGCGTGGAGAAAAATCATGACAAACATGTCAAGAATATAGACAATGAACATGGAGTAATTTAAACACAGATTAATATAATTGGCACTAAGAAACCGACTCATATTACTTTCCAGTAAAATACTCACAGCGCACGTATGAAAAAAATAACGATACCCCTGTGAGCGTTGGGACTCCATCACACACGCGCAAGGCAGCGTTTTTTTCAAGTTTTTCAGCTCTGTCTAAGAATAGCCCTTCAGAAAAACCCTGTTCCACTGGAGATGCTTTGCTAGGGTCTCGAGTGCTCACAGTAACAATGACATATACGTGCACACTGCTTGTTAAAATAGGCAATATGCTTCGTTTTTCACGTACATCTCACGATATCAGTGTGTTCCATTGCGTACACATTGTAGATCGTGAACGTAGCTCATATATTCTTCGGTTATTTCGGTAAAGTCACGTAGGTATAGCTTATATATGTATGTGTGTGTAAATAGTACGTGTTCGGTTGTTCGAATTTAACATGATCTGTAAATTATTTAGAAAATACCGTAAAAATAGGGACGCGCATGCAGGCTGCAGACTAAATAAACGTTTGTCAGCACACATTTACGTGGTTTACCTCGATTATCTCTTCAAGGAGCATAAACCATCACGAACAAAGACGGTCACCGCATCGCATGCATTCAGATGCGCTTCTTCGGCCGTCTGGAATGCTCTTCCTTCATATATTGGGAAACAATTGAAGCTATGCACGTTTAAATCAAGATTGAAAACTCATTTCTTTAGAACTGCTTTTTGTGTTTAGAACAGCGTTTTGTGTATTTTGTGTGGTTGGCAAGGTACGGTGCGAAAAACAATCAATATACAAACGTACGTTATTTACACCTGCTTTGTTTCTGTGTTGGTCATTTATAGTCTTACATATGTACGATACTGATACCTTGCATTGCAGGCGTAGACACTCTAATCTGAACGGGATCATACCTGGTTGCACGACGGTGATTGACATGTCGGAATCTTACCTTGCAACCTGATTTCTGCACAGCAACGTTCTCTGTTTTTAACCGGCTGCATATTTATACACCTTCTGAGCATCACGTGGTCAACTCATCCAGTGGCTAGCTGGGTCATGCAATTTCTAATTAACGCTCTTACGTCAAGAATTGTATTACTTAACTCCCTCGTGTGAAACGCGTCTTGATAACCATGCACAATTTAATTGGTTCCCCAATCTTCTGTGATTCCCCGGAGCTGGTGGGGGGGATGGGGTGTGGGGGGTAGTGGGGTGTGGACACTGCCATTGCGACTGGGCCACTGTGGAAGCCGAGCTCTGAATTCTAAGCACCTCGTCTGTCACTTTACTTTGCTGTAAGGTGGTATAGGTGCAGCCTTGCAATTGGGGCACCCGTGGTGGCGAGATGTTACCTCCATCGCCTGGTATACAGGAGGTCGTGGCTTCGATCACGACCCTGCCGCCTGTCATGTCTCTCTCTCTTCCTGTGTTTGCGTGGATGTTGTTATCCGGGTCCTCCGGTTTTTCCCTCCGCATTTAAAAAACGTGCGTTTTGGTCATGTTGCTCTAAAGTTCCACACGATAAGCCACTTCGTTGAGCTATCATTTGTGGTCAGGTCGTTTCTGTAGAAGAGCTATACAGCTCAATGGGGCTTACACTGTAAAAATTAATTATAAATAGTTTTAGTATAAGAGCATTCGTTAAATTAAACAGCGAAGATAATGAGCATAGATGAGAGAAACCCAGCTGCACGTGCAGGATATGCAGAGGTGGCTGCACCACAAGTCGGGAGTGGCGTCCCTGCTGCAGCACCCCACGTAGCACCCTTAATTATCCTCATGGCACACCTTCAAGCTACGATCGATGAATTCAAATGAAGGGGGCTCACTCCGCCACTGCTCTGCTGTGTGCTTACAAGTACAGGTAAATGGTGCGGCCCTGGAATGTCTTGCTCACGCCACTACAGGTGGAATGCCTCTACTAAAGAGAACCGCTTTGGGTGGCATTCAGCCTTGCACTTCCACACTGCGCCTGACATCTTCGAAGAGGTGGATGGACCCACACTTTACCCGCCATATGCGCCCTGCCAACCCGCTGCGGTATGACCCGCTGGGGCCACTTCGTTATAATCTTCGGGGCTGAAATGGCGCCACCACCACCACAACTCTCTTTCAATAGCCGGGCCCTAACTGGGCATAACTTTCATTCAGGTGTACCTCGCGTAACGAACACCATCGACACTATGAGCATGCGGCAAACAGACGGTAGGTGTTCAGAAAACGGGGGCTGTAACTGACCCCGCTGCGCAATGAGTAGGCCCTCCCAGCAGTGCCGGATTATCCTAGTAGTAAAAGTAGCTACATATGCTACGGGCCCCGCACTTTCAAGGGCCCCGCGCTAAATGCTTTCAAGTTATCAATTCTAGTTCAGTGATTCTGCACTTGCTCTATTACTGTCGTACTATACTTCCTTCAACTTTTATGAACGACTGGGTGTTTAAGGTTAGCGATTTGTCGTATTATCTGGCTGTATAGCAAATAAAAAAAATACAATTACTTTATTATGCAAGTAAAAAATGTGTCTTTTAATATTTTTGTATTTATTAAATGTAGGGCCCCTTTATAACATATGCTACAGGCCCCGCACTAGCTTAATCAGGCACTGCCTCCGCGCCCATAGCCGTCGCTCAGAATATTTTGGCCTTCGTTCTCTCATCACCAGCGAGCTCAAGATCCCCTTTGGAGCCACGAGCGCTCGATCTGCCGCCCGTTCACGGACAGCCCCTGGCGAGCTCCTCCCAACGCAGAAAACTCCGATTGGCTAACTCGTGGCCGGGCGGAGCCTAAAACTCCACGTGGAGGTGCGATGCGCCTCGGCTACCTTGACTCTAATGAACTCACCCACAAAGCGCTCGCGCGCACGACACACGAGACACGTGCACATACGCACCGAAACCGACCAGCACGAATATTGATCACACACTTTCTCTGAGTCCAAACAAGAGATATATGTAGGCTTTCGCGACCAATATTATTCATAATAAAGGTTTTTTGGGGGGATTAAATCGCGTAAGTATAAACGTGGATTTACTCCCCAACACACCGGTGGGCTGAAGTAGCAACTAATTGGGACGTTTTGTTTACGTGACAAACCTTACTCACTGACCGTATCGGGTGGTGGAGGGTTAACGACACATTTATACTTACCTGATACAACCCAATAAAAAAAACCTTTAGTTCGAACAATACGTTTATGAGTTTATTTTTGCGCCACACAGTACTCAACTTTTCCTGGATTGACTGCCGTGATAGGGGACGACGTTGAGGGTGGAACTCTGCTGCGACGCTCGCTCGTGCCTCAACGCGGTGCTCGCACCTCGACAGTTTGCCGCAAAGAATGCGTCACTTGGACGACTCAGCACGGCCGGCAGCCCAGAGATTGACGCTCGCGGGTCCGGTCGCGTTCATGGCCCGGCGACGCAAAGTTCCCGAGTTTTCCCTCTAGAGAAGCCCTTTTGAATCCGCCCCTTTCGCTCCGCTCCGCTTTGTCCCTTTCTCTGCCAAGCCCCCTAATGGTCCGTGCCTTGATCAACGCAAGAGACTCACATTCAACCGGTGTTCACCCCATCCGCCAATTACTCTGCTAGCGGACACTGCATTCCTCTCAACCTGAGGTATTACCATGCTCGAATTACCATGCTAAGGGACACTGCATTCATCCCTCGTTGAACAATGACCTTCAAAGCGGCTCAGCTCCACAGGCCCCCCCTTTTATCATAGGAGCTGGCCGGTATCATTCCGCTGCATGTCAGATGTGTGTTTGTCAATCCAAGTTAGTTGTCGAAGGGAGTGTGTGTGTGTATATATAGTGTGTGGAATGTGTTCCCAGCCTTGGCATCACAGTGAGGTCACCAACACTTAGTGGTGAATTAGGGCTGTTGTAGTTCTGCCACATGGAACAGAATAATTTCCATAACCCATGTGAGTTGGAAAGAGATAGTAGTATGGGCAAGGAATGTGTCATGATGCCATGACGCTGCAACAAAATCCCCTTGTCTTGCTCCCAGCTTAGGGTCAGGTTGTGTGTTTTGAAGCCGACTTGAACTCCGCTGCTTCTTCTTGTCCTTGTTGATGTTGTACGGCTGATGTAGTTGCAGAGCCAACTACTACAATATCACATTCAGGTGGTCAAGCCAGACAACCGCGTCAGGAGCAGCGGAGTGTATCGCTTTGATGTCTCCTTGGCATTTGTGGATCGGGCATCGCATCGTTATATGTTTTACAGTCTGTTCTGGATGACCACAGTCGAACGCTGGAGAGTTTTAAATGTTCAATTTGTGCATCAGGTATCCGCATCTGCCATAGTTTCTGCAGATGTGGTTGAAGGCGGACTGTGAGCTTCGCAGAAGATCTAATCCAAGGATATTCTGGGTTGGGTCTTTCATAAGGAACTCCGCTTGTTGAACAGGACAAAGGGTACGCAAGGAAAACTGAAGAACACCAACAGTTCACCACGGGAAAAAAAATTCCCGCTATAAGAACTTTCATGTTAACACATACAATCGAGTAGGTCACGGTTTGAATATGCATTCGTTGATTTAATCAACTGAACGAGACAAAAGGATGGTCATGAGTGAACAGTCAAGATCTGGTAATGCGACAAATACATTTATTTTCAAACAATGCGAACAGACTGCCAGAGTAAGATACAAAGCAAATTATGGTGGAAGATTTATGAGACCAATGCTCGACTGAAAACGTATCACATAATTCGAGTATCTTCTTACTGGAGCTGAGTAAACGACACACTTTTGAAACGGGCTGCCACTCGTTTTAGACAACAAAAAACAACATTTCAGCGCGTCCTCGATATACCTAAAACGTCAATATAATCGCCCTTTAACTATCCCTAGAACAAGAATTGGAATCGGTGACGAAGCCCTTGCTGTTGCAGCACCAACGTTTTGGAACAACCTTGTTTCCTTCCTTAACATCGTAAATATTCGTTGAAGCAGATGATTAGCGATGGTTACAAATCACATTTGCCAATGTGATTGTAACTTTGATCCTTGCCCGTATATCGATGGTTGAATATTAATGTGCAATTTTATTTAAAGACGACTGCTGTATTATCTTGCTGTGGTCTGGGACTGTTGTTGATATTTTGCTGCCTTGCCAAAGCTTGCCTTTAGTGTTCAAAAACTGGCAGGAGTTAATGTACTTATGCAATTTGTACCTAAATATTGAATGTTTATTTATTGACTTGCTTTCCTTTTCTCTACTTTGCACTACTATCGCGTTTGTTGTTTGGTTGTTGTTGTAACTTGCTGACCCATCACTACTGAGCATCTGTAATAAAGAGCTTCATAGCTCATCGGATTCCTCCAGTATCAATACAAATTCTGATACGAGGCAAGTTCTGGGATAGGGTGCCCAGGTATATCAATTGTATTAACCAAGACCCCATGATTTATAAGGACATTAACTTTAGCCCAGTGACAGTTTTTCATATTATTTATATAGTTTTTAATATGAACATATACATATAATAATAAAATAGCAAAAAAGGCTAAAGAAACACTGGAACCACGGGAAGGAATTACACGACGATTCTGTAACATACAATCCAACACACTGACCCAGGACACGCTGGGGTGCCTATGTCACTTGGCTGGCCTGGGAACGCCTGGAGATTCCCCAAGAAGAGCTAGAGTCTGTGTATAGCAGTGTATAGTAGTGTAGTAGTGAATAGTAGTGTAGTGTATAGTGTAGTGTATAGTCTGTTTTATATATTTTTTATTTTATTGTTTCCTTTCTACGTGACTTTACCGAAAGAACCAAGAATATGAATCCCTGTAGTCACGAAAGCTTTAAATAAAAATGTAGTGTATATTCGTTTATAGTGCATAGTAGTGTATAGTAGTGTAGTGAATGGTAGTGTATAGTGAATGGTAGTGTAGTGTCGTAGTGTATAGTGTAGTAGTGTATAGTAGTATATCGTGTAGTGTATAGTAGTGTAGTGTATGTTATTGTAGTAGTGTATAGTAGTGTATAGTGTTTAGTCGTGTCGTGTATAGTAGTGTAGTATTGTATAGTAGTGTATAGTACTGTATAGTAGTGTATAGTGTAGTAGTGCTGGAGTCTGTTGCTAGGGAATGGGACACCTGAACCGCGACTACTCAACACCCTTCCGCCGCGACCCTGACCAGGACAAGCGGATGAGAAACGAGTGCACGAACAATCCAACACTGCAGGAGTCGCGATGCAGTGCAGGGCTCAACTGGGCGCTGCACAGCCCATTGATGTCTCTGTGCAGCGTGCAGACGCAGCAGCGAACAGCAGTATTGCGCTGTACGCTGTTTAAAACTAAAGCTTCGGGTGTCCGATTTCTAGTTGTTTATTGTTTTTTAAGGTTCCCTACAAAACCTCCTAATATGTGCATGACACAGTATATCCAACCACGTTCATGTTTATTATTTTTGTGTGCCTTATAACAACACGTACAAATGTCTAGTTCACTGTCGCCCACACCTTGCGAAGCCGCAGATTGCTAAACGCTTTGGGAATCATCTTCTTCAAGCGGCTCTTGGCCACTTTTCTTAGCTCTTTGGTTCTGAAGAAGTAGATACTGACATTCGCGATCGGCAGGATGAAGCTGACAAACTCGGCAACGCAGCGAATGTTTCTCGCCTGAACGCTTTGAGAATCCCTGACGAGTCGCGGCACCAGCACTGCGATTAACAGCGAGCCGAAGAAAACCGAGAGCAAAAAGAAGTGGGTGAGCAAGGTATGGACGGCCTTGTGCTTGAAGTCACTCGACCGTGTCCTCTTGCATTCGATGATAATCCTAGCGTACGTGTGTCCGATTACGCACAGCGGTAACGCGTAGAGGGTCACCACGACGGCCAAGATGTATGTCTCGTAGACGCGCGTGTCACCGACGGACAGACGAACGAACCCCGAGTAATCGCAGAAAATGCCCGGCATCTGTCTGCCGTCGCCTTTCAGCGTCAGCGACGTGACGAGGATCGTGAGCGGCGCGAGGGCGGCCGTCACGAGGCCCCACGCGGTCAAAATAGCGAGCAGCGTCCGTTTACCGGTCACGATGGCGTGGTAGTGCAGCGGGTGGCAAATCGCCACGTAGCGATCAAAGGACATGATGGCCAGCGTGAGACACTCCATGCAAATGAACACGTTGATCCAAAACATCTGCGCGGTGCAGGACGAGCGCGGGATCCGGTTGTCGCCCGTCAGGAGGATGTGAAGCTGTTGGGGCAAACTCACCGAGCAGCCAATGAGGTCAGCCACCACCAGGTTACACACGAAGGCGTACATGGGCTTGTGCAGGTCTGTGGAGACTGCCACAATCACCATCACCAGCAGGTTGGCGGTGACGGTGACGACGAACGTCAGCAGCAGCAGGCTGACAGCGAGCGCCCGTACGCCGTAGGAGGTTTCGAATGTTCCGAGTAAAATAAAAGTCTTGTTGCTATTTTCCATTGCCTCCATCAAATTGCATGTGCGATATTCACGATTTTTGTTAAATTCAATTATTTCTCAAATCTGTAATTTATGAGAGAAAAAACACCCCCAACTTAACAGACATTATGCTGTTCATCAAAATAACAACACACTTAACATTACACTCTCCACTACTGACAGATTTAAATGCACATAGACTCTGAATTTTTTAAAAATTCCACCTTTAATATCCCAGGAACGGGTCCATTTGTCCACAATGCCAACCGAATATTACGCGAATTGCCGTGTGTGGCGTGTTAAACTCGTCCATGTGCAGCTCTGTAGCATCGCACTGCGGGTATGAGATCATCCCCATGCAGGACGGGTTAAACAATCATACTTTTGCCACGACGGTGCGGGTTCGTGAAGATAGGTGAGGACCTACAAGAACATTTTCCACCTTCAAGGCAACGTCAGAAGTCAATAGATTATGGGAGGAAACAAATATTGATTGAACGTCACCCACATGGGCAAAATATATGGTTCACAACACCCACTACCTATCAGTGCAAACCACCACACGAGGTTGCATTGACCACAATGCGATTCAGCTGAGCTGTGTTATCTATATTTGCAATATTGGCTGAATAATTTTAGTTATTTCTACACGGCTGTTTTACCAATGCAAAAAAATTCCCGTGAAATATTGAAAATTACACGTCACAAATCACACCATCATTCCGTGTTCAAAACATTACTCTTAGTCAGTTTAACAACATTGCTAAATCTTGATTTGAAGCTTTTGTCACTGCAGGAATCCATACTCTTTGGTTCTTTGAAAAAAAGTCACGTAGGTATAAAAATAAAAAATAAATTATATATCACGACGTTTCGATGGCAACACAAGCGGTCGTCCGCTGAATCAGCAGTTCCACTGCTGGATTATTTTTTTCCGCCTGAGGACGACCGCTTCTGTTGCGATCGAAGCGCCGTGATGTATTATTATTTTAATATTTTTAAACCTACGTGACTTTACCGAAAGAACCAAAGAGTAAACATGGCTAAACATCAGGGCGCCTGTGCTCTTGGTTTGATTGCCATGTTTTTTAACGTGAAATAAATACGTGGCTGTATTTCATATTAAGGTTAAGTAGCTGGAGGCACCGCAGTTGCGATGCGCTCTAAGCTGATCGGGAAAGGGTGCGGCTGACCGATGCACTGCTCTGGAATCTTACCTCGGAGGCGGGCCCCTCACAGTAATGTGCTCAGTGCGTTCACCGGCTGCATATTTATACACCTCTGAGCATCACGTGGTCACTGCGTCTAACGACTTGCGGGTCATGTGCTTATTCATTAATCCTTCAATGCAAAGGAATGTAATTTCCTTAACAACGCCCCTGTGTAAAACGCTTCTCGATGAACTGCAGTTTAATTTGCTTCTCGTACAAACGCGTCCCAAGCGTCTCCTTGAGGTGGCCTGGCTGAGTGGACTACGCGCACTGCCACTGAGCCAACTCACGCTTCATGTGGAGGGACAGATAAGTGGAGGCTTATTATATCTGCCCATATATTGTGCATCGTGTCGTGTTGTTTGACGAGACTACGGGGCGTATAGTGTGATTTTATAATTTACATGCTTGCCTTCAGGTGTATCATTCTAGCCTTCAAGCGTACCAATGATAATGCAATAAAATTGAGTTAGTCTACCCAACACGGGATAAATAGAGATTCATATAAATGTGCACAAATAACGTGTGGTGTGACGTCCGCGACCTATCGCATTGCAGTAAAAAAATAATGACTGCATCCATAGCTCGTGTTGAGCCTGCTGGTTTGGAAGCTATGCTACCTGGTCGTACATGCGCTGGCAGAGGAAAACACTTTTCAACGTGTTTTACAACGTCTTCTTTGGTTCTTTCGGTAAAGTCACGTAGAATGATAATAAAATAATAAATTGATAAAATAAAATAACACAATGATATTCTCACGACGTTTCGGCCACAACACAAGCGGCCTTCATCAGGTGAAGGGGGCGAGACTGTCTGGTAGGACAGCGCTGGAGTGAAAGAGCCACGTTCAGATACGGCCTTTAAGCTGTGTGAGAGGAACAAAGCGCCTTGACAAAGGAATTAGCATATAATTTAGAATTGAAATGGCTGAATGATTAGCTTGCGACTGGTCACAGAAATAGCTATGTTAAAAGTTAAAGCATACACACCCGCAGAGGCACCCATTGTTAAAGGGATTAGCATAGAATTTAGCATTGAAATAGCTAAGTTAAGGCATACACATCTTGACAATGGAATTAGCATAGAATTTAGCATTGAGATAGGTGAGTGATTAGCTTGTACCTGCTGTAGAAATAGAGCTTGTACCTGCTGCAGAAATAGCTACGTTAAAGTCAGAGCATACACATTCACCGAGGCCCTTAGTACAAATCAAACAGGAGAATTTAGCATTGAAATAACTAGGCGAATCCAGCATTGAAACAACTGAGTGATTAGCTAGTGACTGGTCACAGAAATGACTACACATCTGAGCTATTCACAGTACTATATAGTGAACCAATAAAAACTAAAATATAAATTACCTTCATGTTATCAATAAACTCTATATTCTCCAATCAGCTAAGCTACCAACAATAAGTCGTTATATATCACAATGCTATATGGCGAAAAAATGGGTGGATTCTTACCCTCAAATTTCAGCCCCACGGATAGCTACGGGCCCCGCTCAGACGGACGAGTTCGTCCATGGTCGGAACAGAGGAGGGGGAGAAAGACAGCTGCGAGGCCCTAGTATGCTCCATATTGTAAAACTATACCATTAACCGTGGTGTGAGAGGTATTAAGAGGCAATGCTGGCGAAAGAGCTGCGGTCTGAAGGTCATCGTAAAAATACAATTAATTAAGAACAGAAATGATTTAAAACATCTTTCCAGTGGTTACTAAGCCTGAATCCATCTTCTCGGTTGAAATTGTCTCTGTGCTTGTATATGTGAATGGCCTCATGAACGAATCTCTCATGGTAGCCGGTTGGTTTGCAAAGAACCTCCGTCTTGGAGAAGTCAATGTCATGTGAGCCCACTGAATTATAACAGTGATCTGCCACGGCAGAGGAGTTCGTCCTACCGTGTTTCAAGTCTGCTTTGTGTTCGCGGATGCGGTCCGAGATATGTCTTTTGGTTTCTCCAATGTAGCTACTACCACAGAGGCACTTTAGTTTGTAAACGCCCGGGTACTGTATGTCTGGAACAGCATCTTTTACAGATGGAACTAAATCACGGATTTTATGTACTGTGTTGAATCGGACCTGGATCTTGTGTTTGTTCAGGATTTTGGAGATCTTTTTAGTGACCCCTGCAATGTAGGGTAAGGTGATGGTTTTGAGTGGCTCCACAAGAGGATCCTTCTTCATGACTGGAGTGATGGCTTTGCGGATTGTGTAGTCGGAGTAGCCATTAGCCCTGAGAGCCTGGTGTACGTGCTTGAGTTCACTGGTAATGTGTTCCTGGTCGGAAATGCATTGGGCTCTATGGTATAGAGTCTTGATGAGGGAGTTCTTCTGGGATGGATGGTGGTGGGAATCCGGTTTCAAGTAAGCATCTGTATGGGTAGCTTTCCTGTAGACAGAGTGGCTCATTGAACCATCATGTCTTCTTTTAATTAAGACATCCAAAAAGGGTAGTTTGCCATCTTTTTCGACCTCCATGGTAAATCTGATGGCTGGGTGTATGGAATTGATGTGGTCGCGGAATTGGTCTAGAGCAGGCTGGCCATGTGGCCAGATGACAAAGGTGTCATCAACGTACCTCTTCCATAAGGTCGGGCGTAGAGTGGCAGTCTGGATGGCGTCAGTTTCAATTTTTTCCATGAATACGTTGGCTACAACCGGAGATAGGGGGGAGCCCATTGGGGTGCCCTCAGTTTGTTTGTAGAAAGTTCCATTCCAGGTGAAGTAAGTGTTGGTTAAGCAATGTCTCACCAGGGGGGGTACATCAGTATGCAGTCCTTGATGAACCAGGTCTTCAATGATAGCGATGGTGTCAGGTACCGGGACTTTGGTGAACAAGGACACCACATCAAAACTGACAAGCAGGTCGTTTGGGGACAGGGAAATGCCTTTGATTGTCGATACCAGGTGAGTAGAATTTAGTACCGCAGAGGTGGTTTTTCCAGTAAAAGGTCGCAGTATATCAGCAAGAAAACGTGCCAGTTTGTAGGTGGGGGAGCTGATAGTAGAGACGATGGGACGAACGGGTGTATCTTCTTTGTGTATCTTTGGAAGGCCATATAATCTTGGTGGTCTGGCATCAGAGGGCTTCAACGAGAACTGTTTGATCTCATCAATTAATGCTGTTGAATCAGAGATTATTTTGTTCGTTTTGGTGACCAGGCTGTTGGTGGGATCTCTTTTTATTTTTGTGTAGCTGCCATCGTTGAGTAGTTCTTGAATTTTGTTGTTATATTCTGTTTTATCCATGATGACAGTGGCATTGCCTTTGTCGGCTGAGAGGACGACAATATCATCCCTATTTTTTAATTGAGATTATTCAAAACGTTCGTCTTTGCTGATGTTGCTGGGTGGCAACTTAGCGTTTTTGAGGGTTGCAGCGATTTCAGATCTTGCTACGTCTGCAGAGATGTGACTCAAGCCCTTGAGTGCAACGTCGACATGGGCAATGATATCATTAACCGGTAAGTGTCTCGGTGTGACAGCAAAGTTTAGACCTTTAGCTAAAACGGATTTCAGACCATCAGAAATGGAACTGTTACTGCGATTAATTACGACTTTGTTGACGTCTATCTTTTCGGTGTGTGGATCCGATTTTTTTTTTGCTGGAGAGGTGATTGAATTTGGAAATCAAATTGTCCCTACATTTGTTCGACATAGTGGCAGCCGAAGAGGTAGTCATATTGTCTACATGTTCCCAATCCGATGTAGACATTGTTGCTGTCAATTTTAAGTGTGATTTGTAGAGTGTCTTGTCTAACTGATCGAGTTCGGTGCGTGTAAGTCTGATTTTTTCCGAGATAAGAGCGAAGCTAGTTCTAGCTAGAATTCGTTTTGCATTGAGAGAAGTTGCAACAGCAGAGGTTAGTGTAAATGCGGTTGGTATTACCTTAGAGTCGCGGCATCTCTTCAGAAAGGTGAGAGACTCGATTAGTTGAGCCTTCTTATCCCGAAGTCTGTTGAATGATCTTAAGGATGTGTGGAATCCCTCCCCGTAGAGGCGGTTAAATTTCGATTTAAAGCTTTCGTGACTGCAATGATTCATCTTCTTTGGTTCTTTCGGTAAAGTCACGTAGAATGATAATAAAATAATAAATTGATAAAATAAAATAACACAATGAAAATATAGACGTCAACAAAGTCGTAATTAATCGCAGTAACAGTTCCATTTCTGATGGTCTGAAATCCGTTTTAGCTAAAGGTCTAAACTTTGCTGTCACACCGAGACACTTACCGGTTAATGATATCATTGCCCATGTCGACGTTGCACTCAAGGGCTTGAGTCATATCTCTGCAGACGTAGCAAGATCTGAAATCGCTGCAACCCTCAAAAACGCTAAGTTGCCACCCAGCAACATCAGCAAAGACGAACGTTTTGAATTATCTCAATTAAAAAATAGGGATGATATTGTCGTCCTCTCAGCCGACAAAGGCAATGCCACTGTCATCATGGACAAAACAGAATATAACAACAAAATTCAAGAACTACTCAACGATGGCAGCTACAAAAATAAAAAGAGATCCCACCAACAGCCTGGTCACCAAAACGAACAAAATAATATCTGATTCAACAGCATTAATTGATGAGATC